GACCCAGCCATCCTCCCTTCTATGAAATCTACTTCTACTCTAGATGTCAACGATGTAACTTCTGAACAGGAGCTGCCATTCTGAGAATGCAGCCTGACAGCCGGGTGCAATGACCTCTTTGGGAGCAGATGGGAAACGGAGACTTTCCCAATGTGTAAGACCCATGCAGATCCTGGGTGTACTCTGCAGCCTGTTTCCACACCCCTCTCCCACATCATCTGGGGTGGGCCTTGCAAACTCCAGTGCTTTCAGAGGCCAGGCAGGAAATGGAAAGCGGGGGTGGGTGACCCTGCTACTCAGCTCCAGCCCACTGCCTGTCTGGGGCACACCGAGCCACTTTTCAAAAGATCATTCAATGCCCAGCATCACCAGATGATCTGGATTTCCAAGAGATTAAAATCCAGATTTTTAAGTGCCATGTATTGATTCCGTTTTTAACATCATCTCAGTTACCAAAAAAAAAAAAAAAAAAGGAAAACCTCAGTGAGGGTAGAAAATGTCTGCCTGCAGCATTTGGCCCAGAAAGCTACCAGTTTGCTACTTCCTGATCAGGGGAAGAATGTTTTTACCCTATTCGATCAGTTTTCCTGGATAATCCCAGGAGGTATCTTTTGGTTTAATATATAAATCTGTTTTTAATTATATGTACACCATTATATCACTGTTCTTAATATTAAATAATATCAAAGGTATTATTACCTCCTCATTGAATTCTAAGGGGGATTAGAATATAGAACTCCAGATGGAAGGAGAAGACTTCAAGTTCTGTTCCTGCCCGCCAGGGCTACTAGACCCCTTAACCATTCTTAGCCTTGGTCTCCTAATCAATAGAATGGATCAGTAATACCCAACTCACAGAAGAGCTGTGAAGGTTTTAAAAGACAAGCTGTGTAGTAAAGGTATTCAATAAATATTTGTTCCATTCCTTCTAAAAGACAGGCGTGAGGCTCCATAAATATTGTAAAATAGATCAATTGAGAGAGATTATGTTGCTTTACCAATGGTTTTTTCACTTGATAAAAGGATTTCCCATTGTGGGCTTCTGTCGTGCATGGAAAACATGATGATTTCCCTAAAATTTTAGTTTATGCATAACTTTTTTGGGGGTAAAAATGAACAAGCATTCTGCCCTTTCAATAGCAAAGACATCCTCGCCTGTTCTACGAGGCTGTCATAATTGGTTGGAGATGGGAGAATTGTCCTACGTATGAGAAGTAAAGAGTAATTTTGGACTTCCCTGGCGGTCCACTGGTTAAGACTCCGCGCTGCCAATGCAGGGGGCACAGGTTCGATCCCTGGTTGGGGAAGATCCCTGGTTGCTGTGTGGCTCGGCCAAAAAAAAAGAGTAATTCTACTGGAGCTACCTGGCACCTCTGTGAGGCCACAGTTGCTAGGGGCTCAACTACCAGAGTAATGCTGGAAACCAAAGACTTCCTTCCTCTCATCCTCTCTCCCCAATAGTGCTGCTTAGGTTGGTCTTCAGAGCAAGCCCTGCCTTGCGCCATAGGTGAACGGTGGAGAACACAGAGCCCATTATGCAGGGGGTCTGTATTCACCTCACCTTGCCCACAGGGGACCTGAGGCGGCACACACAGAGTGGGGAGACATTTTGGAAATCTCAGGAACAAAACTGATTATGTCATGGCTCTGTCCTTTCTGAGAGCAACACCATAGGAAACACCTGTAGAGAGCAGGAAACTAGAGGAATTAAAAATATCTGCCTGATCCCTAAAAAATAAATAAAAGAGGAAAGTAAAATGGTCTCTTTTCTTCACAGGGAAAACAAACAAGGTAATATCTGGTTTGAGCCATTTCCGCTCTGCAAAGCACATCCCTCCTGTGGGCCACCCTCCCCAGGCAGACATAGGCCTGGACCACACGCTTTGACAGCCCAGGACATCCGGATGCCTGAGATGGTTGTCAATGAGGGTCCTGAGTAGGGTCCAAGTCCCCAAGCTTCAGATTTCCTTTGTAGGAGGGAGGGTTTGAGGAAGCTGAGCTCATTTCCTTGGGGAGAGGGGTAGCCTCCATCCAGTTTTGGACATAAAAGGCCCTTGTGCTTTTCCTCCACAGCCTTCCCAATCCCAGGCAGTCAGTTCGCTGGAGCCCTGGAGATCAGGGATGGCAGGCCCATTCGGAGGGGATGTGATTGCTGAGCCTGCAGGACCTGGCTGAGCACAGGAGCGGATTTAAAGGTGGTAGAATTAGGAAACCTCAGATCCTACTCTCTCCCCTGCTTTCTCACAAACAGTAGGTCACCAAGCCTAGTCATCTGTCTTCTAGCTCTGTTTCCAGCCTGGCATCTTCATCTTCGCTGTGGTCACTGCACTTAAGGGCCCCTATCATCTCTCTCTTGACTGTGGGGAGAGATTGTGGTCACCTAACTGGTCTCTTTGCCTCTGATCTTCTTCCTCTTGTCCATTCTCCCCTCTGCTGCCCATACAATCTGTCTAAAATCTGTCTGACCGTCTTTGCTTGGCTTACCTACTATAGAGTACCTCTTAGTATATAGAATGTAAGGCTCCTGTCCATCTTTCCTCCCTAGAAGATAATAATTTTTCTCAATAAGAACAGCCAACACTTACTGAACATTCACCATGTGCCAAATACTATGTTCAGTGCTTTAAAAAGATGCTGATTGGGGCTTCCCTGGTGGCGCAGTGTTTGAGAGTCCGCCTGCCGATGCAGGGGACATGGGTTCGTGCCCCGGTCCGGGAAGATCCCACATGCCGCGGAACGGCTGGGCCCGTGAGCCATGGCCGCTGAGCCTGCGCATCTGGAGCCTGTGCTCCGCAGCGGGAGAGGCTACAACAGTGAGAGGCCCGCCTACCGCAAAAAAAAAAAAAAAGATGCTGACTGGATCTACCACCAACCAGCCAGGTATTATGATTGTCACAATGTAGATGGAGGGATCAGAGCTTAGAGAGGCTAAATGAGTTGCCCAAGCTGACAAAGCTGTGGTGGACCTGGGATTCCAACCCTGGCAGCCCAACTCCACACCCCACTCTTCCCGCCGTGAACCTCTCTGCAGCCCTCTAAGCACACTATGCATTTCCATGCCTCCATGTCTTTGCATGTGCTGTTGCTCTACCTCAAATGCCTTCATCCTTATTCCTGCCACCTGGGTAGCTCTTCTTCTTCATCCAAGACCCATCTTCTTGCTACGTCCTCCCAAAAGCCTTCATGGACCTCTCCCCTGGGTTGTATCATCACAGCCAGCCATGCAAACCTCTCTCGTAGCACTTCCCTTGCTACATCGAGCTGTCTGTCCCCCTCACCAGAGTATGAGCCCCTTGAAGGCACGTGCCACAGCCTTTATCTCGACTTTCCCCTATTCCTAGCAGAGTGGCTGGCATATAGTACGTGTGCAATAAATATTTATTGGTTTAAAGACACCAGCCATTGTAAAAGATCGAGGCTCTGGCTTCTGGATCAAGTCTCTGGGCCTTGGGATCTCCATCTGTTAGATGAGAGCAGCAGTCTGCTCAGCTCCTCTCCTTTATTTCCCAACGGACCCCAGGTCCTGTATTTTAGAAACTCCCTCCACGGGACTCCAGCATGCATCCAGGGTTGAGAACCACGGCTTTGATCTAAAGAAGACTTAGTGGAGACAAAGCCTGCCAGGGAGAGCCTTGCTAAGTGAAATCACACACGTATTTATGCATGTGAAATCTGTGTAAAATGAACACCAGAAAGCATCAAAGAAGATAAACTTCCAAAGCATGGGGAGAAAATACTGACCCAGAGTTGTCATTTGGGAAGACACAGGACATTGATAGTTAATACTAAAATGCAAAGTAGCTTTAAGGTAGCAGTACACAACTATCAGATTGGCAAAATGTTATAATAATAAAAAGCCAGAGCTACGAGGATTATGGGGAAAACTGTTCCCTTAAAAACCGCTGTTAACATTACACATTGGTTAATTCTGCCCTCTCAAGACAATAATCTGGGACTATGTAACAAGAGCTTGAAAATGCTTTGTTCTATTTTTAGAATATATGCTAAGGAAATAAAGGAAAATGCAGCTTATACAAAATCATCTATAGCATTGCTATTCACATGAGGTGAAAACTTTAAAACCATCTGAACATTACATTTCAGAGAACAGTTGAAGTAAATTATAGACCATAAAGGCAATAAAACACCATGTTCCCATTAAAAATGACACTCAACCTTTCTAACACATGGAGATATGTATGGAACAAAAAGGAAAGAAAAGGGCTGAGAAATTCACAGCGTTTTGTACACAGTGATGAGAGTTACACAAAAACAAACAAATACACTTCGACAAAAACTGGAAGTGAATTTGGAAAGATGGGGGGAAAAAAACGTAATGTCCACCAGCTTTGAAGTTGTTCACAGGTTTTGTCATTAGAAAACGTGTGCCTCCAGCTGGGGCAGCAACTGGTCGGTCCCTCTCTATGGAGGGGCAGGCCTGGCCGCGGTCTGACAACTGCTTGTATCTCTACCTAGGCCTCTTGGCTGAAAATACACTCTAGTATCTAGCCATGGTGAGGTTTCAACTTTAAAGGGGCCTGGTTCCCTTTAAACTCATATCCTCTCCAGACCAGATGATAAGGGGGATATCACTGGCTCCACGAGGAATGGAGACTGAGATTCAGGGGTGGGGAAATCTCCTCCCAGGTCCTGGTAACGGGGCACCACCCTCCTGTGGGAAAAGGCGCTGGTGACCGTCTGGGGGAGAGGAAGCATCTGAGGCCCACCCTCCAGATAAGGGTGGAGATGGGGGCAGAGGGCGGTCCCTCTCGGGACAAGTGGGGGAACGCCGGTCAGAGGCTCAGCCTCCTCTGGCTGGCCCAGTGATATCAGAACAGAGGGGAGCCAGGGAGCTGGTGGGTCAGGGCTGACCATGGGCCCTGACATGCCTGCCCCCTGCCTTGCCTCACCCCTTCCCCTCGTCTTGGCTGGGCAGACCTGGCCCCATAAATGGACTAGTGACTGGGTAGTAAACGCCCCAGCGTAACGAAACTACTCACAGGAGGCTGGGGAAGAGCAGGGAAGTTCGGGGCAGCGAGGCCAGCAGGAGCAAAGCTCCACAAGACAGAGAAGGCCGAAAGCTCGGTCGGAGTCCATCGCATTGTGCTCTGTGTTGGCAGGAGAGGTGACATGAGTTTATCTACCCAGAAGGGGGTAACGGAAGCTGTGCCTGGGGTCAGGGGAGATCAGGAGAGTAGGAGAGCCGCGCAGCAACACTGCCAGTGCAGAATGCAGGGTGCCCTGGGGCTCTCTTTCTAGGATGTGGCTGAGGGACAGGAGTAGCGGAAGTAGCCAGGCAAGGAGTGAAAGGCCACAGGTGGGGTGTTCAGAGCCCTCTGAGTTCCATTTCTGCCCCTGTGGCTTGGTGATCTCCAGTGCAACTTTTCCATTCTCACCCACAGCCAGAAGTGAGGCTCTGGGTCTGGGGGTGTTGTTATATATCGAGTTGTGTCCCTCAAATTCATATGTTGATGTCCTAACCCCCAGTACCTCAGAAGGAGACTGTATTTGCAGATAGGGTGTTTTAAGAGGTCAATAAGTTAAATGAGGCATTAGGGTGGGCCCTAATCCAATGTGACTGGTGTCCTTGTAAAATGAGGAGATTAGGACTCAGGGAGGGAAGACTCTGTGAAGACACAGGGAGAAGATGCCCATCTTAAACCAAGAGAAGTCCCAAGAAAACAATCCTACTGATACCTTAATCTTGGACTTCTAGCCTCTAGAACGGTGAGAAAATAACTTTCTGGCTTTAAGCCCCCCAGTCCATGGTACTTGTTCTGGCAGCCCTAGCAGACTAATACAGGCATTGCACCTGGCCTGTGGAGGCTGTCTCTGGGGCTGAGCCATGTCCTCCTTGCCCCGTCATGCTATGTATACTCTTTTTTTTTTTTTTTGCGGTACGCGGGCCTCTCACTGTTGTGGCCTCTCCCTTTGCGGAGCACAGGCTCCGGACGCGCAGGCTCAGCGGCCATGGCTCACAGGCCCAGCTGCTCCGCGGCATGTGGGATCTTCCCGGACCGGGGCACGAATCTGCGTCCCCTGCATCAGCAGGCGGACTCTCAACCACTGCGCCACCAGGGAAGCCCTATGTATATATACTCTTGCTCACAGCATGCTGTCAGGATAAAAGCGCCTTGAATCCTTTTCCCCTACTCTATAGAAACGGCCCAGGGACTTCCCTGGTGGACCAGTGGTTAAGACTCCACCCTTCCAATGCAGGGGGCATGGGTTCCATCCCTGGTCCAGGAACTAAGATGCCGCATGCCGCAAGGCGCGGCCAAAAAAAGAAAAACTGCCTAACTTCACACAAGCAGAGCCATTGGCTGGGCTGCAATTACTGGGCCCTCTCCCCTCTGTGCTCTGTTAGTTGGTGCTTTTGCTTCTAAAACTCAAAACAGTTCACTGGACAGAGGGGGAATCCCTATAGCTCCTGAACTTTGCCCTTGACTGTGGCTGGAACAGAGCTGTTGCATGGAGGCACAGGGCAGTGGTCTCCCTGGTGTGGACTGCAGGTCTTTCCTCAGGACCCAGGCCTCCTGGTGGGCGCCTGGGGTGTCAGGCCAGGGACGGACCCACATGCTAGAGTCAGGAAGTCCTGCCCACCCCACTGGTTGCCTCTTTGTAGCTTCAAACACGGCCTCTGCCTCTGAGCAGTGATCTGGGCAGGGCCCAACCTGGTCTCTCATCTGTAACAGCTGCTCTGAGCTTCAAAGAAAAGCCACAAGAAGAGCAGGAAGCAGAGGCCCAAGGGGAGTGCACGCCCCACAGATCTCTCACCCCTACCCTGCCCCACATGCTCCAGAGCGCCTGCTTCTCTTTGAGGCACCAAGTTATTTCCAGATATTTCCCTCTGTTTTTGAAAACACAGAGGTGACAACACCTTGCATCTGTCCAGTCCTTTATACCTCTTCCAAGTCCTTGGCGATGAACACATTCACTCATAATCCCCCCAATAAGCCAGGCAGGGACAGAATTATCATCCTGGTGAGAGCCCCAAATCTTGGGCCATTGATTCAAGACTGCACAGCAATTTCCACAGCAACGGAATTTGGTCCACAGCCCTGAACTCCTGCACCACCATGCCCGGCCTCTTCCAGCTAGACTGTTAACACTCACCTGGTTCTCCTCCACCACACGCATACACAATGTACCTGCACATGTGCCCAGGAGGCACAGGTGAGCTGCTCTTCATTATAGACACAAGAAACCCAGGCCCACATCTGATGCCCTTTAAATGCTATGGCCACACCTGGGCATCCCCATCAGCGCACAGGCCCCTGGGAACCGTGCTGCCTCTTTTTTTAGTCCTCAGCTAGGGCTTAGGTAGAAAGTTCTCGGCCTGTGAGGAAGGGTCCCCGCTCAATCTCCTCTCTCCGCCTCCGCCCCCAGTCCTTTCCGAAGCCCACCTTGCCTGGTTGTTAGTCCAGGTGACTGAACAGCCCCCTAAAGGTCTCTCTCCAATCCATTCTCTGGGGACCATAGCCACAGTGAACTTTCTAAAGTGTAAATCTGACCACCTAACCCCTGTTCCCCATAGCTTGGGGAATAAAACAAGTGGCAACACAAAGAGGTGGCTTTGGAGAGCTTGAACATTCCCTGTAATCTCAGCAGCCACGCCAAATACATACCCAGTAGTTTAAGTTAAGAAGTGTGCCTGCCCTACAGGTTCAGCTTCAAGGCTAGCCCCGTAAGCACTCCCTGTGCAACAGGACTGTGTCTCCAGAGGCCTCTGTGTGGAAATCCTGGAGCTTCCGAGGTCAAGTTCTAGGGAGTCAAGCATGGCCTACCCACTAAATCCAACTGTACTTCCAATGCCCTCCTCTCTCCTGCCTCTCCCTCCAGCTGCAACATCCTTCTCTTCCCTCTTCAGCTCTCCAGCCCCTCCTCAACCTTCCTCCTTTGGGAAGTCTTTCCTGCCCCCAGGTCATACCCAAATCTGTGTCCTGAGCACAGATTTATCAGCATACTTGACCAAACTCTTATAATCACCTGTTATCCTTCTGATTCCCTTACTAGACCGCAGGCTCTCCAAGGGCAGGATCCCAGTTGTATTCCCTTTTGTGTCCAGAATTCTCAGCAGAGAACCTTACACAGTGGGCACTCCTGAAATCCTTATGAAGTGAGGGAGTGAGTGGGTGACTGCTTCTCCTCCCTAACCCAGACCACTCTTGCCCACCACAGCAAGGGATTTCCTAGGAGCGGGTCGTTGCTTCCTAGAGGCCAGCCCAAGCAGGCTATTCTGCTTCCATCCTTGATGGTGGGTGAGGTTCTGGGTGACCCCAGGCTCACTCTGCCCTGCCCCCATCTCGCTGGTACATAATTTTCCCCTATCATCTGCAGCTGCTCCAGCAGGAAGTCCAGATGGTTGCTTCATTTCCCAGGGTGTCCACACCCCTTTCCTGCCCTCCCCTCCCCCTCCCTGTTGGCAGGATGGGGAACCCACAGGAGTACAGTGGGAAGATGGGGCTCTGTGCTGAACCAGCCTCCACAGGGCGCTCTCACCTCACGTTGTCTTCCCGGCACACCTCGCTAAGTCTGCAATTTGTGTACCAGGTACAGTGAGCCTCTGCAGAAGGAAGGCAGCCCAGGGCTAATTTGGCAACATTTACCAAGAACCATATCCTTTGGCCTAATAATTCCACTCCTGGGAATTGCTTCCAAAGAAACTATTCAAGAGAAGAAAAAAAGATACATGTACTGTTTATAGCTATGTTATTTAAAATAAGGAGAAAAGGGAAGCAAATGCCATGTCCCAAAATAGAAAAATGATTAAATGATGTTATATTTGTGTAATAGAATATCATGCAGAAATTTTAAGTGAAAATGTGACTCTGTAGAACAAGGATATTGTCTTGGAAATAGCATTACGTGAAAAGATACAGTACAGAGTTGTATAGACACTTATTATAATTTTGTAAGAATTACATATATGGCTAAAAATAATAAAGACATAGTCATTATATTAAGTAGTATTGTCTTTTTCTCCCAGTTTTTTTTTTTTTTTGATGATAAAGGGGGTAAAATGGAGGATCAGAAGGGAGCAAGAAAAAAAAATTAGCTGTGTTAGGATGATAATTCTAACAATTTTACCTTAAAATGTTTAACATTAGCTTAATAATAAAGTAATATTTTAAAATTAAAGGGAAACCCCTGAACACCAAGTCCTAGGATTTTCAAAAAAGGATTTTTTTGTTGGTTGTGGTCTTATCATTGTTTTTAAAATAATAACAAGAACATGCCTCATTCAGACCTTCCCAGTGTGTGGCTGTGCATCTATAAATTAATCTGATGTGGGACCCATGACCTGATTGCCACTAAAAGCACTTAAAAGACCTTTGCCTAATGGACAAATAATTCTGTCCCCTCTCCCTCCCTTCTCTGAACCTCGGCTACCACATCCCAGCCTCAGGTGACAGTCTAGAAGTACTGAGGCCCATTCCCTTGAGGCCTCCATTCCCGGAGCTGAGAGAGGGTTAGGGGAAAGGAGATGTGAACACACAGAGAGTCCTGGAGAGGTCATCTGGGCAGGATGAAAAACTTTAAGTCCTACATTTGTGGGATACAGAGATAAAGTCTGAGACTGAACCTTTTTTTTTTTTTTTTTTTTTTTTTTTTAAAGAAAAGGGTTAGGTTACGGGAAGCTTGTGGTCAGCGAAAACTCCCAGCCCTCTGCACATAAACTGGTCCTTCACTAACTTTAGTCGTCCTGGTGTTCCTCAGATGTGAGGGATGCCCACAGCACTGTCCTTGGCCTGCTCCTTGCTTTACAGTGGCCTCTCACTGCTCGGGCTGCAGAGACCACTTCTGTGCAAATGACTGCTGAACCCATCTCAGCCCAATGCCCTTCCACGCTCCAGTTCTGAATTTCCAATTCTGAATGTCCCGTCAAGGCCTCAACCGAAATGCAGCCTCTCCGCCACCCAAGCCAGCCCAATCCTTCTCCTTGCTCCCAGACTGAAAATGCAGTCACGCTGATCACTTTCTCTCGAACCCTAACACCCACGGCAGCCTCCCACCAAATGCCAAATAGTGCGAGTCCTTGCCTCAGTTTATTCCACAGTTTCATTGCCTTTCCAATCTCAAGGCCCTCCCTCATTGGTGCTTTAGCCTCTCAACTGGTAGTCCAGCCTCTGGAGTCTCCCACCTACTCATCCTGCACACTGGGGCCAGGTGAACGGGCCTCCAGCGCTCCTTTGATCCCGGAAGCCCCCTTTTCAAAGACCCTCAGTACCCACTGAAGAAAGCCCATGTTATCACACTGTCTTTCTTGTCTGTGCACAGTGTAGTTTTATCCTCTCTCTTCGGCAGTTTCGCTCACGCACACATGTGTGCACACATGCCCACTCGGTCACTGAGGGTACTCATAGCTCCCCACTCCCCCAATTTATCACTTAGCTGCCCACTACTGTTACTTCTTTGCCCTTCACTATAGCCACCTGCTTAGAAACAAACTCCTGGTTTTCAGTGCCCACTGTGAACTCACTCTCTCCCATGAAGCCTTCTCCAGTTGCACCAGCTGAGCACGATCTGTCTCTGAGCAAGACCCCCAGACCTGTGGTCTTGTTACTTACATGATACTTCATACCTGGCATCCTGTATTTATTTGGAGATGCATCGTATCACTTCCCTGCACCGCTACTAAACCTTCTGCTTATTGAGATCCTGTTTTTATATCTGACTCCCTCTGAGGATCCAGACAGCATCTTTCACACAGTGGGCCTGATAAATATATGTGGAATTGACTGAACAAATGAGTGTGTATTTCCAAGCCAGGTCTGGCCTACGCTGGTGCCTGACATTCCAAAGCTAAGCAGAGGGCTTGACGTTCATTCCTGTTTAA